GACAGCCAAGGCTAATCATGCCCACATCGCTGGATCAAGAGGAGGCTCAGATGAATATAAAGGAGGGGCAGTGGTGGGGAACAGCATACAGAATGCTTCTTTACCTTCAATGTATGAATGAATGAAGGTTAAAAAAACCTTCAACCCCTTTACAACCACTTTAGAATTGATTAATTTAAGAGAATTTAGTTCAGCTCTTTAAAATAAAAGGAATAACAAGTTAGAGCTGAACTGAGCCCACCCAGGGGCCCGGGAGCACTCGTCATTACATGTGCAGTATGTATGTGCACACTTGACTTTTTGGAAAAGGTTATTCCTCCTCCAGTGGTGACAGGTCCTTCCATATTTCTCATTCTTCTTCTGGATGGGTTTTCCTTCCTTCAGCCATTGCACGATGTGACTGTTTACATTGATTCCCATTGCATACATGTTACAGTTGCAATATTTTAACACGTGGCTGAAGCCTCAATCATGTACTCTCTGCTGAACATGGCTCCCCAGGCAGTTCACATATAAAAAAAAAAATTCCGCCATGTAATTCTACCTACTGGCATTTTTTTTTTGGTTATTGTTATTGTTTTTTATGTTAAGTTTAGTTCTCCAAAATGGTAAAAAAAATGGGGACTTGTGGTTCCTATGCTTGCAGAAAAGTCTTTAACTTTTAAAAGCTGCAAATAAAACTGACATTTATTCTAACAAGCAGGGCCCACTGATTCCTACTGTATTGAATTGTATTGTAATTGTACTGTCTGCCCTCATGTTGTAAAGTGCTTGTTAAAACTGTTGGCGCTATATAAATTCCTATAAATATAATAATAAGTTATGTTGCAAACAGCTTCATGTTACCCATTCTTACCTGTAATATTCCTGCTCCACCTGTTGGGTACGACTATTCTCCACTGGGCGCAGTAAGTATGTCTTCCTCTGATTGCTGGCAGCACATCGGAAGTACCCGTAGATGAAATGGGCTACCTGGACCATCACTCGCCGAGCCCAGTTTACAGAATTTAGCGCTCATTAAGTTATGCTTGCTTGCAAAAACTTGTGTCTGCGAAGAGTTTTCTTACAGGTACATCCAGCTCATCCGATGTTCCTTCAATTGCCAAGGAACAGGAGAAAATTTAGAAGAGTTGCATTTTATATATGAATTATTAGGTTGCTCATGGTATGGAGGATGTACAATATCTCACACATTCCAATGTAATCACTTATGCAGGCCATAGATGGGTCAAAAATTGGCAGATTTTTTTGGCGAAAAAAAAATCAGCCGATTTTCGCACCATTAGTGGATTAATTGGTCGGCGTCCGATTTTTCGGGGTTTTGGTACTTTTTTTTTATCGGTAAAGTTGGAAAATTCTGAGGCCGATTTTGACGGCCAATTTTCCCGGCAATGATGGGCAAATCGGTTTGATCTCGTTTTACCCATAAAAAATCTGCACATGAACTGTGACCTGCAAGAAGAAGAAGAATAGTCCACGCTTTTATATTTTATATTAAAAAGTCTTGCAGTTGCAACATTGTATCTATTTGTATCCGAATAAAAATATCTGTATCTGAAAAAGATTCAATGTTGCAACCGCAAGACTTTTTTCATGTAACATATAATAGCAGAGCTCTCTGCAAGGGACAGAAGTAAAAATGCCGGCCGTAGACGGGACGAAAAGTGGCTGATTTTTTTGCATTGGTGGTAATGTCGGTCAAGATGAACGACCAATTTTTAAATTTTTTTTTTTTTTAAACGGCCGATTTTCAACCTGTCTATGGCCTGCATTAGTAATCAGATTGTTTCTCATCCCCCAGGTCTCCCCTACATACAGATCTGCATTGTGAAGCTTCTGGGAGTCGTGCTGTAGCACTCTGTGTCCCCGCGGGCCCCTACTCCCCTCCTGTCCATCCTAGTGTGCATGTATGTGACATCACCTGGGATGGAGAAGAATGGAGGGGCTGGTGAGGACCCAGGACTCCCAAAACCTACTCTACAGTATACTGCCATCTCCCCTTGCTGTGCTCGGCCGCTACAGTCCCTCATGTAATGTGCCCTTCTGCTCCTTCCCATGTAATTATTATTATTATTTATAATACAGGATTTATATAGCGCCAACAAATTGCGCAGCGCTTTACAAAATGAAGGTAGACATTACTATTACAATACAATTTGGTACAAGAGGAAACAGAAGGCCCGGCTCGTTAGAGCTTACAATCTAGGAGGAAGGGTTGAGTGATACAAAAGGTAATAGCTGTGGGGGGGATGAGCTGATGGAGGAAATAAATGGCAGTTTACTAGGTAGAAGCAGGATAGACTTATTTAAAAAGAACGGTTTTCAGGGATCTCCTAAAGGTGGATAGATTAGGAGACAGCCGGACAGATTGGGGTAGGGAGTTCCATAGGATGGGAGAAGCTCGGGAGAAGTCCTGGAGGCAAGCATGGGAGGAGGTGACACGGGAACTAGAGAGCAGAAGGTCTTGGGAGGATTGAAGAGAGCAGTTTGGTTGATATTTTGAGACCAGGTAGGTGATGTAGCGGGGGGCAGAGTTGTGGATGGCTTTGTAAGTTGTTGTTAGTATTTTGAATTTTATTAATTGAGCGACTGGAAGCCAGTGGAGGGATTGGCAGAGAGGGGTAGCAGACACTGAATAGTTGGTAAGTTGGATGAGCCTGACAGCAGTATTCATGATCGGACTGGAGGGGGGATAGTCTATGTAAAGGTAAGCCAATGAGGAGGGAGTTGCAGTAGTCAAGTCGAGAGATGACCAGGGAGTGAATTAGGAGCTTTGTGGTATCCTTGGTTAATAAGGGGCGTATTCTGGAGATGTTGTGGAGGTTGAGGCGGCATGATTTGGACAGGGATTGGATGTGAGCCTGAATAGATAGTTCAGAATCCAGGGTTACCCCTAGCACCCTGGCATGTGGGGATGGGATAATAGTCGTGCTATTGATCCTGACTGAGAAATCAGGGGAAGAGACACGTGGGGGAGGAAATATTATGAGCTCAGTTTTGGAAAGATTGAATTTTAGGAAGAGGTGTGACATCCAGTCTGATATATCTGTCAGTAAATCGGTGATACGTGAGGAAACTGATGGGGTGAGCTGAGAGTAGAGAGATAGATTTGTGTGTCATCAGCATAGAAATGGTGTTGGAAACCATGGGAAGCTATCAGCTGACTCAAGGAAGAAGGAAGATGTAATATAGCCTGCTGCTGACTCCATGTACAAAATAATATATCCTGGTGCTACCCCTCCATGTAATGTGCCCTGCTGCTGCCCCTCCATGCAACAAAACTGCTGCTGCTGCCTCCATGTACAATGTAATGCATCCTGCTGCTGCCCCCCATGCAACGCGCCCTGCTGCTGCCCCCCATGCAACGCGCCCTGCTGCTGTCCCCCATGTAACGCGCCCTGCTGCTGTCCCCCCATGTAACACGCCCTGCTGCTGTCCCCCATGTAACGCGCCCTGCTGCTGCCCCCATGTAATGCGCCCTGCTGCTGCCCCCCATGTAATGCGCCCTGCTGCTGCAGCCCCCACATGTAACGTGCCCTGCTGCTGCCCCCCATGTAATGCGCCCTACTGCTGCCCCCATGCAATGTGCCCTGCAGCCTCCCCATGCAATGTGCCCTGCAGCCTCCCCATGTAATGTGCCTACACTGTTTAAAGTGATCAGGCGGCTATACAGCTGCCTGGATCACTTTTAAAATTACAGCTGGAGGCCAGCTTTGACCAGGGGTGGACTGACAACTCATGGGACCCCCGGGCAATAGGAGATCATGGGGCCCCTGTATCCTTGCCCAAACTCAAAAAAAAGCCTATGAAAAACATACCAGGGGCATCTCATGGGCCCCCTACTGACCCTGGGCCCTCGGACAGTGCCTGAGTTTCCAAATGGTCAGTCTGCCCCTGGCTTTGACTGAAGAAAATAAATACAAAGCACATGGCTGCTACTGCCACAAGTTTGCTTTGAGCACTTCGCTCTCGGGACGTACATAGTGGTTAAATCCTGACTAATAGTAATGTACCGGCTACCTACCCCCTAACACGTGAACATTATCCTCAAACACTGTGATCATCTGCAGCTCCTGGATCTTAGTACAGCGTCCAAGTGGGAACAGAACAATGATATCAATATTCGGATTTTCTCGAACACCCTCAATTGCAGCACTTCCCGTGTCTCCAGATGTTGCTGAAACATAAGATACACAGCGCTGAATAATACAGAGAGCTCTCTGAAAGCTTCTGGTCAGTAATTAAAATAATCAGTCAGTAATAAATGTGAGATATAAACACGGGGTTAAAGTGGAACTGTCAGTAACATAACAAGTCTGCATGAATAAATTCCTGATATGTCACAATACAGAGAGTAACAGTATCATTTTCTTTTCAGAAAAGCTCCAACTTTTATCGTTAAAAAAAGGCAATCCTCAAGATTCAATCAGTCTTTGTCTAGGCTGAAATGATGTCAACAGTGCCCTGCAGGTAGGAGGATCAGACTGTACATTGTAACACTGCAAGGTGATGAGGATGCAGCAGAGGCTGATTTGTGTAAGGCATTTGTGAACACAGCCAAGAATTGCACAAGCACTAAAATTTACATGACTGTGTCACCTCAGTCCAGAAAGTAGATGCTGACCCTGGATGGTGGCTGAACAAAGATGGTGCAGTCCTTCAGGAGAGAAAATCAGATAAATACATTGTTGGGGGGAGTGCTGTGACCTCAGTGAGAGGTAATAAATAGCTGAAAGTTTTACACATTAGACACATTACTGCGTGCAGTAACAGCACACAGCAAGAAAACATGTAGCTTGTGTTAAGTCTAATTTACTCTCCAAAGTACCACACTTAAAGGATTTTCAACCGCTTAAATGTGCTTTCATATATTTTATGAACGATATGAGAAAAAGTCAGCCATCTGTGGGATAACAATGATATATTGGTGACAACGTACCAACCAGGATGTTCACATGCCGCTTGCTTTTCTTCAAAAAGTAATCCAGAAACTGCCCCACACAGGACATAGCGAGGTCTTTAAAAGCGTATGTTGGACCGTGCCACATCTCCATCACATTCAACCCATTTTCCAGTCTGGTAATTGGAACGATGTCTTGGTGTCTGAAGCGCAGTAAAGCTTTGTCGATCAGATCTATACAGAGAAGAGTTATCACTGCATTCCACATATCTAAACCCAAAAACCATAAATGTAATATACTGCAGCTTACCAGTCCTTAGATGTGGTGGCTGCATTAGTTTTCGTTTTTTTTTCTTTTATCTTTATCCTGGTGATCTGGCAGCAATCCACCTCCTGTCTTAGACCTCATGCACACAGATGCAGAAAACGCCACTTTCAAGGGTGTTTGGGGTTTTTTTTCACCTCTGAACACCACTGCATTTTAGGTAATGGGCCCATGCACATGCAGGTGTTTTTCGTCCAGTGGCGGAAATAAATTTCCCAAGCATGCATTACCCAAGAATCTGCTTTTGCGGTTTCTCCACACAAACGCATATACATGCCCCTAAACACATGTAAACACGCATAATCATACGCTTATGTGTGTGTATTTACAGTGAAGGAAATAAGTATTTGATCCCCTGCTGCTGATTTTGAATGTTTGCCCACTCACAAAGAAATGATCGGCTCTAAAAATCGAATGTTCGGTGTATTGTAACACTGAGACAGAATAGCAACAAAAAAGTTCAAAAGAAATGCATGACTAACAAATGATGCACTGATTTGCATGTTTATGGTAAGTATTTGATCCCCCTATCATTCAGCAGAATTTCTGGCTACCAGGTGTCTTCCATACAGGAAACAAGTTGAGATTAGAAGCAGTCTCTTAAAGGGAGTTCTGCTAATCTCATTGTGTTACCTGTATAAAAGACACCTGTCCACAGGAGCGAATCAAACAATCAGATTGCAAACTCTCCACCATGGCAAAGACCAAAGAGCTGTCCAAGGATGTCAGGGACAAGATTGTAGACCTACACAAGGCTGGACTGGGCTACCAAACTATCGCCAAGCAGCTTGGTGAGAAGGTGACAACAGTTGGTGCAATCAATCGCAAATGGAAGAAACACAAAACAACTGTCAGTCTCCCTAGGTCTGGTGCACCATACAAGATCTCACCTCATGGAGTGTCAATGATCATGAGAACAGTGAGGAATCATCCCAGAACTACATGTGAGGATCTTGTCAATGATCTCCAGGCAGCTGGGACCACAGTCACCAAGAAAACAATTGGTATCGAACTATGCCAACAAGGATTGGAATCCTGCAGTGCCCGAAAGGTCCCTTTGCTCAAGAAAGCACATGTCCAGGCCCATCTGAAGTTTGCCACTGAACATCTGAATGATGCAGAGGACTGGTTGAAAGTGTTGTGGTCAGATGAGACTAAAATCGAGCTCTTTGGCATCAACTCAACTGGCCCTGTTTGGAGGAGGAGGGGATGCTGCTTATGACCCCAAGAACACCATCCCTACTGTCAAACATGGTGGTGGGAAACATTCTGCTTTGGGGGGGGGGGTTCTGCTAAGGGGATAGGACAACTGCACCGCATCAAAGGGATGATGGATGGGGCAATGTACCATCAAATCTTGGGTGACAACCTTCTTCCTTCAGACAGGGCATTGAAATTGGGTCGTGGATGGGTGTCCCAGCATGACAATGACCCAAAACACCACGGCCAAGGGCAACAAAGGAGTGGCTCAAGAAGAAGCACATTGAGATCCTGGAGTGGCCTAGCCAGTCTCCAGACCTTAATCCGACTGAAAATCTGTAGAGGGAGCTGAAAGTTCAAGTTGCCAAACGTCATTCAACCAAACCATTAATGACTTGGTGAGGATCTTATGCCAGAGGAATGTGGGCCACCATCCCTCTGGATGTTGTGCCAATCTTGGTGGCCAACTACAGGAATCTCTGACCTCTTGTGATTGGCAACATGGGATTTGTTACAAGTTTATAAGTATGTTTTGTGAAGGGGATCAAATACTTGATTATTTGTGAG